GTTTGCACTCAAAAAATATATGTATGTCCTGTACATATATCCTGTGCATATATACTCAGATTTCTTTGTGTCCTGCATAAATGTATTTGCAATTTGCTTCTCTCTAGAATACGTGAGTGTGTGATATTCATACATGTGTATTAGGTATGTTCAGACTCAATCAGATTTCTGTATTTTCTGTTGTATTAACATTTTCTATTGCAGTTTTTAGCTTATATTTTCAATATGTTTTTCAAAAGAAGCATGTTTTGAGTCTATTAAAATACTATTTTTGGGAACTAATTTTAAAATTATATAACTCCTAAATTATGGAACCCTCAGTAAATAATAAACATGTATTAAAATAGTTAATACAAAGAAGCCCAAATGTATCCCTTTGAAACTTTAATACAAAGTGTATGAGAACATATATCACATAATACATAATACTAATAGATAAAATCTAACTTGAGAAGTTGCAATTAGCCATAATTTTGACCTTAATTTGTAACTATTGACTCAAACTTTTCAAATTTTTTCACCATGAGTTTGCCTTTAAGTCGCTAGTATTACAGATATTGTAGTGCTATAATATTGTATATTTACTGTCCTTATAGATCTACTTTTTATAATTTGTTATTTGAAAGCTATTTTCTGCTATTCTAACTCATTAATTGTTGTGTCTATTTGTTTGTCTCTACTTATTTCTGTAAGAAATCTGGAGAAATCTGGAGAATTCCTTAAGTAGCCAAAAATTTGCACTATTTCTCTCGACTGCATTATCTTAAATAGAACCAACTTCACAAAAGATGAGAGTCAACTCTGCTCCTTTATTGTAGTTGCAAGGCTATTACCAGAATTTTAGAGCATGGGAGATAGCAGTGGCATTCATGAATAGCTTCTCAGAGGAAGGTATGTTACACTGAGAATCAGAGAGTTAGAGTAGCTCAGACATGCACATACAGTGGGCAGGGAAAGACAAAAGCATCCCACACTGGAAGAATCAAAAGAACTTTAGGGTTGTTTGGATCATAGTGCAAGAAGGAGGAATAGCAGAGAAGGATTTAAGGGGCTTGTGCTTCGGCATAGCAGGCTAATCTTCCACTTACAAGTGCTGGCATCCCATATGGGTGCTCATTTGTTTCTCAACTGCTCCACTTTGTATCCAGCTTCCTGCTCATGGACTGTGAGAACAGCAGAGGATGGCCCAAATCCTCGGGCCATTTTACCCACTTGGGAGACCCAAAGAAACTCCTCATTTCTGGCTTCAGTTCAGCTGAGCTCCAGCCATTGCGGCCATTTGGGCAATGAACCAGAGAATAAAAGACCTCTATCTCTCCTTCTTTCTGTAAAATCTGCCTTTCAAATAAAAATATATGTTTATATTGATTATTTTATTATTTTTTGTAAAAGTACTTAAAAGTATGCTGTTCCGTTTTAGCTTTATTTGTAAAGGAAATAGGCAACAATCATGAAGGGTTTTATCTGAAAAACGGGAAGCATCACTCAAGCAGCATTTCATTTTACATTGTTAAACAAAAATGTTTGAGGCCATTGCTTTGGACTAGGCTCCTGCATCGAGCTCCAGGAGATCAGTCCAAAATGGAGTCACTCACACTAAATGCCACAAGTAGATCCCATTTTTCCTGAAAGTAGATATCTTTCTACCTGAATTAGCATAAAAAAGACTCGGGCCATTTCCTTGTCCACCAGCGGCCCTGGTTTGAGTCCTGGCTACTCCACTGCAATCCAGCTCTCTGAAAAAGCAGCAGATATTGACCCAAGTGCTTGGGCCCCTGCGCCAATGTGGGAGACCTGGTTGAAGCTCCTGGCTGCAGACCAGTTCAGCTCTGGCTGTTTGCAACCATCTAGGGAATGCACCAACAGACAAAACAATCTTTCTCTGTAACTCTACCTTCCAAATAATAAGTATTTTTAAAGAATCCATCAAGGAACTATTGCATGAAATGATGATAAGACCCAATTTTGTGACATTTCCCTTTTAACCGTTATCAAGGCTTTACGTGAACAATGTTAGAAAGAAAAAAATAGGACCTCCCAGCTCGCTGCTAATAAAACCAACAGAGAAAGGCCCCCTGCCACCCACGTAGGAGACCCCCAGCTAGCTCCTGGTTTGCCTTGGCCCAGCCCTGGCTGTTGGAGCTACTGGAGAATGAGCCAATGGATCAAGGATAGACCTTTCTCCCTGTCTTCCTCTCTCCGTAATGTGGCCTTTAAAATAAATGAATATATCACTTTTAAATGTGATTCTTAGTTTCAGACAAGAGTAGTTCATCTTCTGAGTACTCTTATTATTTACTTGTGTAAGCCCCACAAGCCCCAAATACTTTCTATAGTAAAGAAACTTTATTAAAACTAATTCAGAATTATATCTGGCATTATGTGACACACTTGAATAGAAGAAGCCACCAGTTATTCCATATACTATCTTTTCTCCTCTTCTAATTTTGTGTTAGGTGCATTATTCATACACTGTCAGAATGTAAAATATTTACCCATTTTATCACTCTTCTCCTTTGTCTTAGCATTATATCTTTGTATTTAAATTTATTCCATATTCAATGCTAGTCCTTTATCTTGTATTTCCCCATTAATCACTTGATTTGCTTAAAAGTAGTCTTATCTTTGGTTAATTGTTGGGTGACATGAAGATTTAGGTTTAACATCAGACCACAATAAGTAGTCCACTCACATACAGCAGCACAGCTATGAGCGTATCATTGGCAAAGTACTCTGTTCATTTTGATGTTTAATTCAGCACTGGAGGGGAAATTCTAAAGGTGCACAAATATTAGGAGAAAGTCTAGTAATAGAGACAGGGCAAACTCTTCATATGTTTACCTCCAAAGACTCAATCAGCTTGATTTTTTAAAGGTTTGTCTTTATTTGAAAGGTAAATTTTACAGAGAGGAGAGACAGTGAGAGGACATCCATCCGCTGGTTCACTTCTTAAATGGCTATGATGGCTGGAGCTGAACTGATCCTCAGCCAGGAGCCACAAACTTCTTCTGGGTCTCCCAAGTGGGTACAGAGGCCCAAGAACGATCCATTCCCTGCTGCTTTTTCCAAACCATAAGCAGGGAGCTGGATATGAAGTAGAGCTGTTAGGACATGACCCAACATCACTCATGCTGGCAGGTGGATGATTAGCCTGTTGAGCCACCACGCTGACTCTTTAAATAGTTTGATTTTAAACCCCATGTGTGCTTTTAAAAAAAAGCACAATCTTACCTGTTTAAGTTTATGGAGTTTTAAGGGCACTAGAAACAATAGGAATATTACTGCAACGCAAGATAAAGCCTCTCAATTCTTACTATCATTTACATCAGCTCAGTAAGTTGCTTTGTGAGTGAAGACTGTCAAGCTGCCAGAAGCACCAATCTGTGGAATTTAGCTTGCACTTTTATGACAGTCATGACAGTAAGTCAGGGAGATGTGCCATATCAAAGAAAGAAACAAACTAACAAACAAACAAAAAACCCAGAGCACTTGACTAGGTAGGTTTGTGAAGATTCAGAAAGGTAAGCTGGAAAGCTGTGTAGATTAGCAAATGAACCAGAGGAAAGGCCCAGGGAGATAGGTGCACAGTCTCCTGGTGCACAGCTTCTCCTTATGTTTGCTACTTTTGTTTAGATAATCCTGTAATCCCTAGATACCACATGCACATTAGGGGAAGGCAATGCTATCATTAATTCTTATAGCCAAGTGTATGTTCAGGCCTAAGGAAACCATAACCCCACTCACAAAACACAGTTGTAAGTTACAAATGAGCATAGAACTCAATACTTTTGGGACATGAAGAATAGCTTTCTGAGAGTACCTGAAAAGCTCCTCTGCTCTCCCAGAAACAATGCAAACTTGCTCTCTCCTGAGGTAGGCAAGGCACGTGTACTCCCATAAGCCAGGCTTAGATTAAAGCTGGCACCACCTAGCAGGCAGAATGGATGGAGAAGGAGAAACAGGATCTTCAGATACGCCAGTGGAGGTTCTAGGCTCTACTAATGCTAAAACTTCAATACTATCACAGAGTTCATGTTAGACATAGAGACAGAGTGACAGAAAACTATCCTCTATAGTTGTACTCCCTGGACACCTGTAAGCACCTGCAAAGCTGGGAGTGGAGGGTGGCAGAGACTTGGCTATTTGAAGCATCACCCAGTGTCTCCTAGGATGCACATGAGCAGGAAACTGGAGTCGAGTGGAGCTGGAACTCAGCGCAGGCACTCCGATATAGGATGTCCCAACCAGCTTCTTAACTGCTATGCCAAATGCCTGTCCTTATATAAATAAAATTGCAATGGAAACATCTTAATTTATTGGAGGCACAAAGGTCCCTTATTTATAATACAGAAAGCTGAAAATATTTAACAAACTAATGTTAAATCCATATTCTTAATAAAAGTTATTGCTAGATGTACTTACTGTAAGGCTGTAATTATTCATGAGTCAAGAGCATGAGCTCTTAATGTACAACTGTAGAAAAAATGACACAGTAAACATTAGCTATCAATGGGTGACTAAACATTGCAGTTTGTTCATAATAGTCAGTCCTGAAATAAATATTAATACTGTGCCATAGTCTCAAGTGTCCAAAGATACAACTAAGGATGGGTCAGACTGAAGCCAGGAGACAGAAATTCCATCTGGGTCTCCCACTTGGGTGGTGGGGATTTGAGTACATTGGCCTTCATCTGCTGCTTTCCGAGGCACATTAGTAATAAACTGGATTGAAAATGTAAGAGCCAGGACTTGAATAGGCAAGTCAGCTCTCCAGCACACCAATAGATTCGAGACATGAGAGTCCTAAGTGATGGTTTACCCTGTCGTGCCGGAATGCCTGCCCCACTTCTCAGCATCTTAGGGGACACCCATCATTTCCACCTTTGTATTCTACATTACAGAATTTTGTTAGAAGTCATGTAAGCTTGGAAAAAAGTTTATAGCTGATGCTTACTATTGATCTAGTACAGTTTTCACAGTCAAGTTCACATTCATTTTGACTCTATGATGCTGTGATTTTTGTCAAAACACATTGATTAAATGAGGCCAAGCCTGAAGCACACATGTACTCTTTCTGATGAAAATATTCACGAACGTTCATCGTCTTTCAGCACAGATGAAGTAGGGTTGAGGCTGCAGTGTCATGCCTAACCTGGGCTTCAGATTTGGAACTAAGTCATGTGGAAAATGCAAATGAAACCGCTGAAGCAGTGCTGTAAAAAACAAGAACATTTCCATCCGTGCCAGCTGTTCTCCAAGACAATGTCTTCTCCCTAAACAGAAAAAGCAGATACAATCATTTTTAAAAACCCAATATCTTTACAAAAATTAATGTCTAATATTTGGATACCATTTAGTTAAATTTTGGATTTAAAGGAAATTATACTTACTAAAGGATTCTTTTTATCACAAAGAATAGAAATCAGCACTTGAGCCCCTAGAACATATTCCTTTCCTTCCTGTTTTAAGATTTTAATGTAGGTTCCCTTGTATGTTGTAACACAGCTTTACATATGCCATGGTAGATCGAATTTGAACTGACATTTTGTTTTTTAGATTCAAGGAACCCTATTTCATTTCATTTGACCAAATGAGTATCCTTCCCTAACAAAGAGTTTCTGGTCCCTTTTTCTACTTAAACATGAGGTACACTCAACTAGAAGCCAAGAAACTAGATACTAGCTTCCCTTCAAATATTGAGTCTTATTCCTCTCTCGGTCTCAATTTCTCCAGCTACTTGTCACTAATGGCATCTACAAGACAAAAGTCCGCTAAAAAGCTTCAAAAGAAGCCATTCCTTCACAACAGTTTATCTCTACTTCATAAGCTAAGGTTCATTTTGCATAGAAATAGGCATTCATCACCTCTAATTCAATCAATTAATTTACAAGGATCCATGTTGCAATTTAGAGTAAATGGTAAGTATTAGCTTCTATATTAGTATATTTCAGATAACAGAATGCTATACAAGCTGAACCATCATTATACTTGAGCCCGGTTATGCCCGTATAAAAGTTCTCTTACCTAGAGAAAAAGGAACCAAAGCTTCCTTCTTGGCAAAATGTCCGCTGCTGTCTAGAAATCGCTCAGGATAGAATACTTCTGGGTCTCCCCAGTACTTCTCATCAAAGTGCACAGAGTAAAGATTTGTAATGACTGTTGTTCCTTTGGGAATGGAATAACCACATACAACTGCATCTTCGGAGGTTGCATGGAAAATGCCTAGTGGAACTATATTACAAAACCTTAAAACTTCATGCAAAACTGCCTCAGTATAAGGCATTCTGCACTTGTCGTCCCAAGAAGGCTTCCCAGTGGGGCCCATAATTAAATCAATCTCTTTCTGAACTTGTCCTGTCAGAGAAAAAAGTGCTCAGTCACTATGAAATTCTTAGATATCTAAAGCAGTGTCTTTGGGGGATAAATTATGATAAGCCAACATGACATAGGTACTAGAGACATTTTTTATTGTGGGAGGTATATTTAACTTATATATACCAATTTAACACTAACAAAAGGTGATTTTCTGGTCTTTCAGTCATGAGACACAAACTAGGGTTGAGGCTCCAGATCTGCCACTTTCGGACACTCACCCTTTTTCTTTATTTATAAAATGGTTCTAACAAAACTTACCTGAGAGCTTCTTCACATTTACTTCTTAGAAATGTTTCTTTTATTGGTTAGCACAAGGAAAAGATCTGTACATACATGAGCCCAAGTTGAGGGGTAGGCACTGAGAATTCTCACCTTGAACGTTTGGGTGAAGGGCCATGAGAAGAACTGCCCACCGTAGCACATTGGTTGTAGTTTCAGTTCCAGCAATGATGAGCTCGCCCACTGAGAAAACTAGGTTTTCTTTGGAGAAAGTACATGATGGGTCATTTTTACCTTGATCCATCTCATCTAAATAAGCATCAACAAAATGTTGAGGTAACCGAGGCTGTCGTTTCACTGAAGCTTTTTCAATAAGTCTGGAGAGAAAATCATAAACCACATCTGCGTTTCTAAACAGCTGTTGATGTTTTCCAAAGGGGAAGATGCCAATCCACGGAAAAGCATTATACAGGAAGACGGAAGCACTGGCAGCCAGCTCCACATTTTCACTAAATAACTCAATCATATGCTGGAAATCAGTGTCTTCATATGAAAATCTTTCTCCAAAAATGATCAGATTGGTTATGTTTGAAACAGCATTTGTTATTAATTGTTTAAAGTCAAATGGTCTACCCTTGCATGTTTCAATAGCATCAGTTAAAAAAACTGTTTCTTCCAAGATTTTAGATTCAAAAGATTTTTGGCCATATCCAAAACTGCGAAAACTGTTTGCAGCTAATCTTCTGTGATCAACCCATCCTCTGCCATATCTGGAATTAAGTAAGCCTGAAATGAAAGTATCAAAAGTATTATATATTTCTAATGTACAACCTAACTATCCCACTCCTTGGACTATATTAAATCTACATATGAGAAAGTGACCTGCGACCCCATATTTTTAGCAGTACAATTCACCAGAGAAAAGATGTGGAAACAACCCAGATGCCCAACAAAAGTGGAATGGATAAAGAAACTGTGGTACCTCTACTTCATGGAATACAACTCAGCCATTAAAAAGACTGAAATTCTACCATTTGCAGCAAAATGATTCCAACTGGGGACCATTATGCTCAGTGAAATATATATATTCCAAGGAGTGGGACTTAAATATGCCTTGATATATAAAAAAATATATATTTGTAATACTAGACTATCTAAAATTGCCTATATCTACACTGCTATTGATTCACACCAATAGCAGAATGTTAAACTTACGACTATTGCTGAAGGACTATACTGTCACAATAATGAATGGATGGCCAATCATTTTTCCCTAATCTTTCTTTACATCTAAATAGTTGGGTCCTGTTCTCTGCTGCTCATTAGTCAGACAATATTGTAAAAACCTGCTCACCCAACTGTAAGTTTGCAGGAAAGACCTACAATTCTCCTACCATAAAATCCTAATGTGATTTTATTATTCAACTTTTACTATAAGACAAATTATTGCATGTTTCATAAAAATATTTTATCTTCAAATAGACAATAAAAATATCCTTCTAGTATTAGAAATGCTCTGTTTAACAGCTGAATTTCAGAATACAAATTTATTCTTGCTAAAGGCATATGATATTTAACGAGGAAGCTTTAACAAAGACAAAGGTAGACTGAAGAAATAGTTAATATCATAGATTGCTTAAGTCAAAAGGAAGAAAAACATGAACAATCAAATTTTTCTAGTGTTGATACTATTTGCCTTACAATTTCTGCTATTCTAATACGGCTACCATGGAAAATTTCCCCCTTTAAAACCAACTGATATGCCTCCAAAGTCTACATTGAAGATCTTTAAGAAGAAACATGGCGTTTAACTATCAGAATATATGGAGGAAATATCACCATGGAAGTCACAGGTACTAAGCCTCACTCTCCCAACATTTTTTCACTTTCTGGAAAATGATGGCATTAACTGCTCAACTGACAACGTTTACAGTGCTCTAAATTAACTATCAAAAAGGAACACCAACATTTTCAGTCTACATTTGCTTATAATATATACTCTACCGGAATCATTCAGTACTGGGAGACATGTAAACCTATAATGAAAAATGCCATGTTTTCATGCGTACGTGAAGCTCATTGAAAATTTGTATTTCAAAAACTTTTGTCCAACAATTTTTGAAAGATTTTATTTATTTATTTGAAAAGCCAAGTTACAGAGAAAAAAAGGAGACAGGGAGATGTATCCTCCATCTGCTAGATCACTCTCGACATGGCTGTAATAGGCAGAGTGGGGCCAACATGAATCCAGGAGTGAGGAGTTAGGTATTTCTTCCAGGACTCCCACAGGGGGGCAGGACCCAAGGACTTGGACCATCTTCTGCTGCTTTCCCAGGCACATTAACAAAAAGTTGGATCAGAAGTGGAGCAGCCAGAAATCAAGCTGGCGAACATGGAGGCCAGGATTGAAGGCGGCAACTGGAACACATGCTATTGTGAGCCTGGGTTGACATCAGGTGACCTTTCCTCATTCTTGGGTACTGGGATAGTTGAGAGGTTGGGTATGGCCTATCCCTCTAACTCTCTCCTCCCCCCAGAAATGGAAAAAGAACTAGAAAGTTCGGAAACAATGATCACACACACTTCTCCCTAACCTTAGATCCTTCCCATCCAGATCAACTATGTAAGCATCATCTAAAATAATAATAAAATAGTAAAAGTTATTATACTACAATGGTAAAACCATTACTTCTGTGTCTAGACTTTATGTTCTCTGTTGCTGCTTTCTTCTTACCAATTCTGTCAACTTTTAGACTTCCTCCCTTATTGACTATAGAATCATCCAACACTACACTGATCACCACCAAACTACCCAGAATGAATACTTTTTTTCACAGCCCATAACTCTCCTTTACATATCCTAATGATTAAGAAGGTCTGCTTTAGGCTTTGTAATCTTATAAGAAAGAAAAATTGTAGTAAAAATGCCAGCATTTACTCAAGATTTGCTACAAAGGGGCACTTCTGATTCAAGTGTTTGTGAATGTGTGTCATTTTTTCACAATATTTGCAGATATTATGCACAAATTCTTCAAAACATATATATTTTTTTCTAGAGAGAATTACAGGTACTTGCCCCCCATAGTGCCACTGACTCCATGGTATTTTTCATATATTGTATTTGATCAACATGATTGATTACCTGTTTCAAATCATCCACAAATCTACCCAGTAAGACATTACTTTCAAAAGTCACTAAAACAGGATTATTGAAGATTTAGAATTTACTAGTCCAAAATAAGAGTGCAATAAACTCTGGAAGGTCCTCAAATTCTAAATTTTCTAAGTAAGTATATAAAAGTAAATACTTTCCTGTTAATCAGTATATGAATAATCCCAACTCTAAGCACCAAAAATACTTAAAACAACGAATATGGTTTAAAATAGCACAATAAACAAACAGATGACGAGAAACATACCTCCCATTTTTGTCATCTTCATGAATAAAGGAAGACATGGCCTGTCAGCAAAAATTTCACCTTGATGAACAAGGCATTCCTTTACTACATCATAGCCATTCAGAACCACAGCTGATATGCCTCCAAGATCTAAGCTGAAGATCTTTGAGCAGAAAAAAGAAACATTTAATTGGTGGAATGTAAGGAAAATACAATCATGGCACTTCCCAGATGCTAGGCCCCACTCTCTGTGCTTGCCTCGCTGAAAATGAAGGCATGTGTTACTCAGCTGAGGATGCTGGCAGAGCTCTGTCTACAGAGCATGCCAAAGAGACACTATCACACTAGTCAGTTTCTAAAGCCAAAGTTACAGGGCTACACGCACGCGCATGAGAGAGAGAGAGAGAGAGAGAATCTTCCATTCACTGATTCACTTCCCGAATGGCTGGAGCTGGGCCAGGCCAAAGCCAGGAGCAAGCAGTTTCTTCCAGGTTTCAGACCTGTGTACAAGGGCCTCAGCACCCGGGCCACTCTCTACTGCTTTCCCAAGTGCACTAGCAGGAAGCCAGATGGGAAGTAGAACAGCTGGGTTTCAAACCTGTGCCCATATGGAATACTGTTACTGCAGGTGGCAGCTTTATCCACTATACCACAATGCTAGTTCCATGAAGTCATAATCTTACAAATGGTATAATGAGAGGAATACTGGACTTGAGGAGCCCTAACTGCATGTAAGGTCCAGGAAGCACACTTATCCTTTTGTGGCTTCGGTGTTGAAAGAGCTTTTTATTTATCTAAATAAATCTGGTAAGATTCATTCCACCTTAAAATATTCAATGATATCTAGAAATCTCCTTTTTCTTTCAAGATGGCGGGAACAGCACCATCTACTATTACCCCATGCTTTCAGATTTACAAAGAGAAGGAAAGACAGAGAGAAGGATCTTCCATCTGCTGGTTCACTCTCCAAGTGACCCCAAAGGCTGGAGCTGAGCTGATCCATAGCCAGGAGCCAGGAGTTTCTTCTGGGTTTCCCATGCAGGCACAGGGTCCCAAGGCTTTGGGCTGTCCTTTACTGCTTTCCCAGGTCATAAGCAGGGAGCTGGAAAGGAAGTATGTAGCATCTGGGACATGAACAGGCACCCACTGGGGATCCCGGTGCATGCAAAGTGAGGACTTTAACCACTAGGCTACCACACTGGGCCCCCTATTATTCTTGAATGTTCCACAGAATATTATTCAGTGTCTTGCAATGTTTGCTACAAAAACAAATTAATAAGTTATCAATTTCATTTGTTTTCAAGGAGTTAACTTGTTGTCATTAGCCTAAAAACAATCCAACAAAGCCATATAAATTGATTTTGCTACCTAGGGAGAATCGATTAAGATTAAAGTCACAAGAGAAGTTTAACCAGTCACAATGAATCCCCAAGGAAATGCAAAGCAAGGGAGAAGCAAAGCACACTTTCAATGAAGATTGCCTTTAAAATGAATTCGGACATCCTTTGGACTGGGAGCTTCAAGAACTACAGAGCAGAACTGACTTCACAGGCCACACAAAGTAGATGTCGTTGCAACTGTCATAAGCAATTGTGGTATCCAGGTGTTTTCATATAAACACACATCTAAATTAAAGACAGTGAAAAAGTAAGGTTCTGTTTACAAACTATTCCTCTAAACAACTTTCAGCGACTTCCAGAAATACAGGTGATAATAGTCTCCTACTTTAAAAAGGTGTTAGTACTTTTAAAACATTAACAATAGTTTTGAGGTTTCAGCAGAATTGGGAAATAGCTCTAAGATAATGGGAGACCTTTAAGGTTGTTTCACAACTAGGGTAAAGATCAAATGTCTCTGTAGCTTAAAGAATAAATGTTGGGAGCCAGTGCTGTGGTGTGGTGGATAAAAAAAAAAAAAAAAAACACCTGCCAGAACAGAACCCCATATTGGTACATGTTCCTCTCCCAGTTGCTCTGCTTCCAACCCAGCTCCTTGATAACGACCTAGGAAAAGCAGCAGAAGGTGGCTCAAGTGCTTGGGCCCTTACCACCCACGTGGGAAACCCAGATGAAGCTCTTGGCTTTACGCTGTGGTCTGGCCCATCCCTGGCTATTGTGGCCATCTGGGGAATGAACCAATGTATGGACATGCTAACTCTTTCAAATAAATAAGCACTTTTTTTTTGAAGATGTATTTTTTTTTTCTTGAAAGTCAGAATTGCAGAGAGAGAGAAAGAGAAACAGAGGTCTTCCATCCACTGGCCCACTACCCAAATAACTGAGCTGGTCTGAAGCTGGGAGCCGGGAGCCTCCTCTAGCTGCCCTATGTGGATGTAGGAACCCAAGGCCTCAGGCCATCCTCTGCCGCCTTCCCAGGCCATAAACAGGCAACTGGATTGGTAATGGAGCAGCAGGGACTAGAACCGGTGCCCACAGAAGACGCCGATACTTCAGAAAGAGGACTAGTTTGCTAAGACACTTGCTGGCCCCCTGATAAATACATCTTTAAAGAAAAAGGAGTTAATGTCTGCTGACTATCAGCTTAACTCTAAGTTAAAGCCAAACACAGTCTCCTCTTCAGTGATAGACTCACTTTTTCTCTTCAGTGATTCTCCTCGGCCCCTTTGCATTTCTTAGCACAGGTTAAACCTATTTGATATGTGGTAAAGAGTATTCTTTATAAGGAGCACAGCTGGCACCAACAATAAAACTAATTACTCATGCCAAATTTTTGCCATTGAACCAGACCTACCAACGTCAACATGACAGTCTTCCAGCACATTTATAATTTTAGTTGTAACTGATATGGAGGGGGTCTCTTAGGAGATTAGATAGTGGCCAATTACATGGAATTAACTTCATCCCCTCACCTGTCAGCCTGATGAACCCACCTTCCCAGAATGCACTTCTGCCTTACCAGGGACCACAAAGGATATAGTATGCCACGTGGAAGTCCAGCTCCATGTGAAGACGCCTTACACATCCATGAAAGCATCATGCATTCCAAGACCCCACCCCGATCATTCATTCAGGTAAGACGCCACCTCTACCTCATAAGAGACTGATACGAGAGGCTCTCTTGCCCTTGACCATGCTTGGGACCCTTCTCTGACAGGTATTTCTTCATATGGGGTGGCTCAAATTCATACATGAAGTATGTTTGCTCTGTAACAGTTAAATAAACTGTTTTCATTTACGCACTGTATTATGCCTCCATTTAATTCTTTTAATCTTTAAGTCAAGAACCTAATTCTTTAATTCTTTAAATCTTTAGGTCAAGAACCTAAAGATGAAAATACCTAGACCCATAGTATAATCTATCATGAGAGGAGACTTAAGTTACCCCTTCCTGAAAAGAATATTCATAGTTAATACAGAGTTCCTTTCAACTATTTAGGTTCGAAAACTTTATTTCTAAGCATTCAAAAATGTGTTTAAATTTAAATTATATAGAGAGATAGGAAGCAAGACCATATATAAACAAGTCGTGGGACTAGCAACTTACTATTTTTAGTTACTATTATTCTAACTTCCCAGATAAGGAAAAATTAAGATTCAGTAAAGGTTGGGTTTTATTTGAAACAGGAGGACTGAGCTCTGTTCTCATGTTGTCACATCTTAAGATTTCTCCAAAATATTATGCTTTTTACCAGCATATCAAAGAGATCAAATACATTAAAAACACATCACAGAAAGAAATTCTGGAGAATGGGGGGCAGGGGGACAAAACTTAACACTATATTTATTTTCTTTGTCTAAATCCAGCTTCTCTTTGCAAGGTTCTCTTTAGCAACGCAAACCACTATTGGGTTGCAGAACCCTGACATAAATATTAGAAAAAAATGGTGTTAAGTATGGACTTAAGCAGCCATCTGAAATACAACCGCCAACCAGCCCTGTATTTTTTCCTTCAAAAGCTTAACCAAGTTATTTTTGGTCATTTGATTTTTCTTTTCTACTAGATTGCTAACTCCATCTCTTCATCTCTTCATCCTTAGCACCGGGACACAGCCTGGCTACTTGAGGCACGTAAATGAATCTAAACAAAACGCACAGAAGTTTCAGCCACAGCCGGTGCTCTGGAAACTTCTGCCTCCTTTTCACATAAGGGCAAACGCAGGCAATGCATCCCTGTCTTTTCCGCAGGGGAGTCACTGAGCTTTTCTGTGCTTAAGTTTTTCTTGTCCAAAAATGGGAAAACCAGAAACATTTCTCTCTTGGGTAGCTATGAATTCTAAACCAGGTAACAAGTTCTCCATGAGACCAGTACACAGTGGGCATCATATAAATACAAATGTTACTGAGGGTGTTCCGCTCAGTCGGAACACCAGCCACTCGGAGCTGTATGGCTCCGGTTTTGTCAACATTGGTTCTATTCCCACTTCTCCCGTTTCCCATGGCCAGGGACAGGCACTTGCATTCTGCTTTCAATCCACACAGCAAACGCCTACATCCGTTATTTCTTGGTCAACAGCAAACCTCGAAGAAACTTGCCATTAACCATGAACTAGCTAGGTTCCAGGCCGCAGAATGCCGCGACGTCGCACGAGCCAAGCTGTGCACTCAGCCTAAGGGGGCGCTGGACGCGGCTTCCCGGGGTCCAGGAGCCCCAAGCCCGCAACCCGCGCCGGGCCTACCCGGGGGCCCCACGGCGCAGGCGCGGCAGCTCGAGCTCCGGGGCGGGAAACTCGGGCCCGCAGCGCCTCCCAGCGTCCGGCCGGAGCGGCGCGGCTGCCGGCGAGGAGCCGCCGGTGAGGAGACGCGGGGTCGCGCCCCGGCGGTGGGTTCTCCTCAGCCCGAAGGAGCCGGTGCGCCTTTCCTCTCGGCTACTCGGAGCTGGGCCTCCAGGGCATCCGGGAGGAAGACCCAGGCCAGCCTCGAGGACCGCACGGCGGCCCTCCCTGCCCGCGGCCCGTCGGTCGCGGCTGTACCTCGCCGTACACTTGGCTCTGCTTTCTCATGTAGACGTGAGGAAGGTCTGCCGAGGCCGCCAGGGAGTAGATGTTGCCGAGGAAGGGCAGCCCCGGCGGCCCCGGGGGGAAGCCCGCCGGCCGCCTCTGCTTCAGCCCCAGGGCGAGGAGCAGCAGCAGGAGCAGGCCGCCCAGCGCCGCCGCACACGCCTCACCGCCCGGAGATGCCCACATGGCCGGGCTGAGCACCCCAGGGCCGGGCTGAGCACCCCAGGGCCGGGCTGAGCACCCCAGGGCCGGGCTGAGCGGGGCGCGCCCTTGAGCCCCGCCACCCTCCCGTGACCTGCTTTCCTGAGGTCCCGCCCTTGCTGCACGGCCATTGGTCACGTCGAATGTAGGGCGATCTGCCCCTTAGGGCTCTCGGGGCAGCTGCTTCCAGGCCGTGCCCACTCACAGCCCAGCTTTGCCACCCTTTGTGTTTGGCGGGGTTGAACCCCCAAACCAACCTAGCAGGCAACCTAGCCTTGAGGACTCGGGTCTACTTATTTCAGACGAGATAAAACGAAAGCACTGCAGGTTTTAGCTGAACATGCGATTTTTTCCAATTTCCATTAGAGAATCGACTCCTGTTCTGCCTTATTCATCTGGTTTTCTTTTTCCTGTTATAAAGCATTATTTTTCGTGATCCCTCAAGAATTGTAATGAGTATGTAATATTTATGCAATTAACTCGGTTACCCGTCCTTTCCCTTCTCTCTGCTTGTTGGCAGCCACAGAGGTCTCTTGATGCCGCAGTTGCTCAGGAATAGTACTGAAGCTCTGACTGTACAACTTAGAACTACACAACGGACTACCTGCTGAGTTGGGGATTCTGACAGCTGCCCTGTAGTTATGATTTAAAATTGGTGAGAATTTTGTGGTTCTTTTCCGCTTAGGCCTCATGGGTACAGCAATGTTTATTAGGAGCCTACTTTATGCAGGTGTCATAAGCAGTGAGATTATAGGTTAAAAAAAAAAGAACAATCAAGTCCCTACAGGATATGTTTTACAGAAAATCTCCACTTAGGGAAGAGCTACTTACTGTTTATTACAAATGCCTTATCTATTACCCTTACAGAGTTCTTAAAATTCTTTTTTTCATTGGTTGTGAGAACAGCCTCACCCAGCCACTCAAAGGCTCCACTCAGGCTCAGGCAGTGCAGTGAAACCAAAAGACTTTCACACCTGGAGTGGTTTACAGCAAGTTATTTAGGTTCTAGCATGGGGGACCCCTCCCCTGATCCCACTGACTGAATAACTAGGTGATTACAATCTTAGCGGCGTTTGCTTCAGCTGTGTTGCTTCCTAACGTCCTGTTTGCCTACCATCTTTCAGATGCGTGTAACCAACTTTCAGTTACTTGTCTGCAAGCTGTTGGCTACTCACGGCTTAACGTCTTACTTTGAAAATGAACCAAAAGTTTATTTCTTATGTCAGTCAAGAAATTGTTTAGTAGAATGGAAAAATATTAGTACAAGATCATTGCTAAAGTTAGCCTCTGTGGTTACAGTGGCAGGCGTGGAAGCATGCTGCTGATGCCCAGGATCGGGGACTGCCACCAGCCACACACGTGCGGTCAGCCTTGCCTTCCCTGACAGCATCAGCTTTGCAGGATGTGATCTGGCCACAGCTGGAACGCGACACAGGTACTTGATTCGTGTGTGACCGCATTCTCTCTTTTCAGAAAGGGCTAATTTTCATCTCAGAAGTGTCTCCCAGTACACTCAAGGAATATTCCTTTCTTGGTTTTCGTTCCTTGGCTATGTTAGCAGAGGAAGGCTGAGTTACCCCGACTCAGCTCCTGTCTGACCCTGCTGATCAGATGGCACCCCCCGTCCGTCAGCGGCTTTTTGGGTGGGGAGGAGTTTCTCGTGATAACTGGAAGTGTTTCAGAACACAGAGCTTTCCTGGTGACTGTTTCTTATATCAGTGCCCAAGTTAAGGCAAACAGCTCCTTGTATTCCCTCTCCTTGCATTTGCTTGTTGGTTGAAAATGAATAAAAATGTTTGTGGCTTTTATTGCTATGATGATGTTGGCAGGAACCAGATGTAAAGAATTTTACTGTTTTATGTTGGATGACCCAGTTTCAATGTTAAGGGTGGGCTAGGCGAATAGCCTGTACAGGGCTCTGCCATTCCTGTGTGCAGAATGGTTGTAGATTCAACAGGGAACACTGTGGCTGTGTTACAAGGATAGTTCCTCTTTCAGCCTTTGGAAGCCTTATCTCTAGTACTTACCCCAAGGGATAGGATCAGGTGAGAGTGTCCTATAGGCCTCTGCCAGTTCTTGGATGGCTGCAGCCCTGGCCAGGGCCGTGGGTACCCGTGCCCTTTGGACTTCCCCAGCACAGAATTATGCAGTGAGCAGAAATTTGCCTCTGTGCACTTTCCATTGCATACACTCATGGTATATTTCGTTGAAATGGAAGTGGGAATCAAAGGAAATTTCAAGTCGAACTAAACTGTACTGGAGCCTAAGGCAAAACAAAAATAATCAATGATACTGATCTAATCTTATTAGAAATTTAGTATCTCGTTCATCATGGACTTTTGCTTAATTTTTATTTTAATGTGTTACATTGAAATAATGTCTTTATTACTGTAGTTTCTGATGCTTTGTTGAATTTTGCTACCAAAGTGGACTGTTGATCCTAGTCCAGGGTTTCCAGAAGAAGTGTATTACAAAGCAGTATGTTGGTACTTGGTTTACATGCTTGATTGCCACAATGTTGTTACGAGGCAGGCACTGAGGTGGGGTGGCAGGACAATGGCACCCTCAAGCTTGATTCCAGGAGCCTATTATGACCCCACAAAAATGAATCTCCTACTCCATTGCCTTAAATTCAGTCTTTATATATTCATTTATTTGGGTTAAACATTCCCTGAAACAGACTGAGTTGGAAAATACAAACCCTAGTGACGAGAGTAGAGTGATAAGAAGTTTCTAGAACTGTACTTATGTCCAAATGAGCTTAGTCCAACACTCAGGACAGAATGGGAGGCATGATGTGACTGGTCTGCTGGAGGAGGCTGTGATGTGATGACGATGGTGATGAGTATGGGGATTTAAGAAACAAATGCAGAAACAGAAATAAAAGTTTCAGTAAGTAAAATCCTTCCATTTTCGTAGTTCTCCCAAGACTAGAATGACTTGGAACCAAGAGCCATTCCTGCCATGTCCTAGGTAGATTGGTTAAAATCCCCCTGATGCTTTGCCCCTCTAATTTCCTACTGGACCATTTTCTGTTCTTAGCATGTTTTATTCCTTACCTTGCATTTATATACATTAGAACTAGAAAAGTGGGTGAATAACTGGCTACTTTGTTGATAACCTTTTCCAAATGTAGCAACTGTTTTTTCCCCCCTTGGGGAGGGAAAGTGAGCTCAGGGAGATATGTAAATTGGAATTTGAAACTTCCTTATTTTTGTCTTACAGGTGAGTTTTTTTCAATTTTTTTTAACATACTATTTATTATTTAAGAGACAAAGAGAGACACCAAACCCATTAGCTGGATTGCCCCTTGTTCCCAATCCAAGATGCAGTAGCAGGGCTGGGTCAGGCCAGAGCTAGGAGCCGGGAAACCAGTCTGGGTCTGCCACATGAGTGACAGAGGCACAGCTAATGAAACCACCACCTGATTCTTCACTGTACTTGCAAATTGGGAAGCTAAAATTGGGAGTAGACATGGAACTTGAACCTAAACACTCTGTATGGATCGCGGGTGTCCTGACCAGCATCCTAGCTGCTAGGCCAAACACCTGTCCCTGAAAATGGTATTTGTAAATATTCTTCCGTGTCTTCTGAAGATGGTATACTGTAGTCTGGGAACAGTAGACTTGAGGAAGCAATGTCATCTGATTGCTTCTTCTTAATTATTATTATCTATACTAACAAAGCAGAAATGACATTAGGTAATCTGATCATGAGAAGTGAGACAAGAATTATAAAAAACACATGCAAGAGAACTAAAAGTACCACAGATGAGGTCATCTGTTGTATGGGTGATGTCAATTCCACACATCTCAAAGCCCAAGGGCATCACTTGCAGCACAGAATACATAAATCCATGTGCTCATTAAATGCAGTCCTCACTAAGGAATGTTAAAGGTATGTTAAAACCCTCTGAAGAGTGTGTGATATAGTTATGGACTATATGACTAAGGTTCTAAAGCAAAACCAGCACTTGAATAATTAATTTCAGTTATCTGAAAACTGCTGTCAGAGGATACAAGGGAATCATTTGGCCTTTGGCTCTTAAAAAAAAAAAAAAACAAAACTGGATTACCACGGAACATTAGTTGAGAAACTCTTTGATGCTGCTTGTGGAGCTGTGTCTGGCTGCTGTACCTTGGACTGTTATACTCAGATTACTTTCTCCCAACAACTTGGAAAATATCTTCTCAACTTCAGGAAGAACATTAGTAGGTGGCTGGTGGCAAAGATCTTATTTCTCTAGGATTTGGGATACCAGTATTCTGAGTATGGTATGAGGAGTGTAGAATTTTCTGGGCCTCCAGGGATGGAGAGTGAGGCAGACTCTCCTCAGGAACGTGTGATGTCCTGCTTTCTGTCCGTATTCAAGTGCGCACGGTCAGGCCTGCTGCAGGTGACCTGAGCTGCGGGGGCCTGACCCAAATGCTGAGGCCCTGTGGCCTTCACTTCTGAGCCCCTCCAGTGTTTCCATTCCTTATCACTCAATTCACCACTCAATTACAAGTGCTTTCTTTTTTTCTTCAATCATTTACCCAGAATGACTCTAGACTTCTGATAGGTTATACCCCTGTTAACCATACTCTGTAATACCAGGTTAAGTGGCTTCTTGGAATACCTGCATCCCATTTGAAAGTGCATAGTTCGAGTCCTGACTGCTCTGCTTCCAATCCAGCTTCCTGGTCATGTGCCTGGGAAGCAACGTGTGATGGTTGGTAATTGGGACCCTGCTCTCCTGGACTCCCATATCCCCCAGTGCATGGGTTGGCCTTAAATTCATGCTGAATGACTGACGGGGTTTCCTGGGATAATCTTGCTTGCCAAGATTCCTCTTTAGATGGATGTATTTTGCATGTTTGTTGGAAGGTAGCAATTTATAGCAGGACCTGATGTTATCCACAGATAACTTGTTCTGTTGTGAAAAGCAAAAGTGCAGACACAGCGCAGGAATGTGCTCTGCTAATGCCTCAACAGAAGGACTTGCTGCTTCTCCAC